TCGTGCACTATAGCATTGATATCCCTATTTTGTACCTTGAGAGCAGACAACAATGTGCTTGTCCTGTGTCTGTACAGGCCTCAGTTGGCTTTCTTGTAGTTCCATCTTGTGATGACTGGGCCTGTATTAACTGGTACATTCTGGACAGTAAGAAAAATCGGGCGATGGTCACTGCCCCCCAGCTGGTCTCCCACCTCTCTAATTATCATTTCAGAAATATCTGGGGTAGAGAAGGCAAGATCTGGGGTTGACGTTGTCTGCCACCTTCTGGAATAGACGGTAGGAGTATCTGAGGGGGCATTGATCAGGATCAGAGAGTGGTCATCTTGCCATGTTTCCACCTCTTCACCCCTGTTGTCGAGATGGTTATAGCCCCAGCTCTGTGAATGACTCTGTGAAGTCTCCAATTGCAATAAAGTTGGTATTTGGTACTGGCACAGAGCTGAGGTTTAGCGATTTGTCATTGGGACAGTAGTAATTAAGGAGGTCTGATTCCACTTTGTCTGTCTTAAGCTGCAGGAGTTGGTACTCAGCTCCATCCATATAAGACATTTTCTCACATGGATTGATACTATTTGTACAAGGGTAAGTACTCCTCCTTTTCGCCTGCCTTGTCTGTCAGATCTGAAGCACTGGTAGCCTCTCACTTTAAATATCTGATCTGCCTGCAAATGGGTCTCTTGGATGCAGCATACACTGACATGCTTTTCATAGAGGATGTTTTCCAGCTCCAACTTTTTGCTGTAGCCAGCCTGCTTACTGCTGACCCCCTCTGCATTCCAGTGCATTATGACAAAAGGCAATTTGGGATCTTTTTGTCTAACTGGTTTTGGTCAGTAGCTATCCTCCGCCGTCTCCTGACTCCACAAGACGGTCTAGGAGGTCCTCCAGTGGCTGGGGTGGATTCTCTCGAGGCTCAGAACCCGGCACTGCACCTGCCTGGTGGAGCTCCACAGAGCGAGCACCAACATTAAATTTGTCTGACGGTGTAATCATATATATAGCGTGGGGTTGCGTAGTACTGTGGTTTTTGATCCGCCTTCTGGTCCAGTATTTCCGACTTCAGGATCTCGTGAGAGGGAGAGTAGGCTCATCCCCTCGCCTTTACCTCGTTTGTTGTCCCATCCAGTTTCCCGCTGGGGGTTGAGACCCCAAACTTCAATTGACTTGCTGGGAAGAACAGGGTCCACCACGTGAAGGTGAGATAGGCTTGAGCAAGAGAGGCTAATAGACATTAAGAGTCTTGTATTGCGCATCATTGCTCCATTTGGACCCCAATCTGTTGTCTATCTCCTTTCTTAGAGTGAGGATTCTAAAGTTAAACACCAAATAATTTTAACAACCGAAAGCATACACAAAAAAGCACATGAATAAAAGAAGTGAATGACATACTAAAACACTGATCAAACGAAATACAATCACAGTCTGAGTAACAACACAATCAAGCGATATGAAATGGGGAGATGGCAAACGAAAGACACAAACAAACTGAGAAGCTGGATAAACAAAGAACATAGACAAAGGGAAAAGGTGTATAACAACAGGTAATGATAATCTAGACAGCGAAAGAAGACATAGATTAGGCATGGACAAATAGAACTAGTGCTGTGCTGGACAAACAAACGAAAGCCAAACTGTGAAGCTTAACAAGCAAAGGATATAAACACGAATTGGGGTAGGATTTTTATAAATGCAGCAAAATAAAACAAAGCTTGAGAATACAACAAAGAAAAGACATAAAAAGCCGTGGACTTTACCCCTGTATGTGTTTATGTTTTATTTATATACCATCAAACGCGCACGCCCACACACACACACTTTTACACATATGACGTGCTGTTAAAATTATAAACTAAAATATCTATAATGGTAATTCTGTGATAACATTTTCCAAAAGATACGTATTTTTCAATAATTCACATGATCTCTCCACATATACAAACGACTACCGGTCAAAATGGACGCTAGGCACGGCCACTGTTTTGAGTCGTGGCAAAGTTTTTGCTTCTGCCAAACGGTGGCCGTTGCATTTTTGCTCCATTTGTAGGCCGAAAGGATATAGTTTTGTCGCCTAACTACTCAGTTGAGTGCATGGTGCGACCCTGTGAGCTGCGGATTTCATTTAGAATGTTTTTCGACAGTGACCAACGCAGTGTTGTGAATTGTAGATTCATAAAATGGCGCTTGGCCTGTCGTCACAATATTGGTCGTGCCCTTATGTGATTAAAATTTACCACGTGTAGAACTGCTGATTTGTTGGTTACCTCTGCTACCATTGATGATGAACTGCATTTCTATCGTCCGACTGTTTGTGTTAGCACTTCTGATGGCTACCGTAGGCTTTTAATGCGTGTGTATGCTAGTGCGTATGCTTAGACAGCAGTCTGTTAATCTTTCCACAAGGGACTGCGATGAACATTCTGTATGTTTTGTTATTGGCACAGTAGTGGAGCAACTATGGGGTGACCCGTTTGCTATGAAGATGAAACTTACTTTAACATTAACATATACAAACATGTTAGTAACCTTACGTTACTCATTTCCAGTTGTAGTTGCCGATGTAGACTCTGCAACAGTAAAATCCACTAGAGTTTTAGTTTCCTCTGAGTGTTGAGTATCAGACCATTTGGTCCCTTCCAACTGCATCACTCTCTTTATTATTCTCTGCTAACTATTTTATTTGTTGTTTTTGTGTTCCCACAGTGCTTTTACCAACAGGTACATAGTAGGTGCATCAGTTCTTCCACTGGCCACTGGCGCTAAACCAGCCAATTCCCGGTATAGTCTTTCTCTATCTCTCTGTTGTACTCCACCAGGACACCACACAAATACCCGGTGACACAAAGTGTCACCATGCGGATGAGAATCACTCGTGGAAAGGTCCAATAAACCCCTTTCAGCCGCTAGGTCACATTTATGGCCCGGCTTTACTCAGGGCCCCGGGCAAAAGCCAGGGTGTACTGGAGATGTGTTGCTCGTATCCTTTGGTTAGAGCCCTAGATTTGTCTAACTTTGAATCAATATCATCAACAAGAGAAATCTGTTCTGTACATCTACTTCTGCTTCTCCACTGTTGCCCTCCAACCATCCATAATTGAAGCAGAGGGCCTCAGCCAACTGAGGTGGCATTTGATTTCATCTTTGGTTTGAACAACGGATCAACTTCATGGTACAAGGGTAGTAACCCATTAATGCTCTCTTCTACTTCTAACATAAACCTGAGTCTGAATAATCTCAGTTTAGTGTACTACTCCGTAGTACCGGCGAGGATCCTGAACTACTTTTGTGTAGATTTTAACTCCAAATTTTGCACGGGTAGCGCCGTTATGCTATTGTTTTAAATTTCCAACTGCCAACTGATTTTTTAGCGCACGCAACAATGCACACGAGCGTCCGATTTCTAGAAATTACTTAAGTTCACGTCTGTTAACCCGGGACCTCCAGCACTCGAGGCGGACGCCATGCCTCGAGATCACCAAGTGTTCCATTTGTTTTTTAAACTAGCTGTACCCGACCATGTGTTGTTGTGGCTTAGTTTAGCTATATAGAAAATTAATAAAATTGAAATCGCACGTGTCTAACATGGTTAATGTCACAATCATTGTTTGCTCAGATAAAGAAAGTCTTCGATGCCGGAACACCCCCCCCCCCTCCTCTCAAATGCACCGACTACTCTTTAACTCATCAAAGGTTTTTTAAAAAGAAAGATAATAGAAATCGCACGTGTCTAATATGGTTAATGTCCCTATCATTGCCTGAGCAGACATAGAGATAGTCTGGTTTGCTGTACGTATCTCGCCGGCGGATATTAAAAGTGGTGCACCCCGAATACTACGCATGTGCATGTACGAACATGGCCTAAATCAAAGGTCAGTGTAGAAAAAAAAAATGTTGACAATTATTTCAACAAATTGTGTCACCTATTTAAGCTATGAAAGGTATCATCCCCAAATCGAAACAAACATATCCTGGAAATGTCAGCTAAATCAGTTCAGTAGTTGCCGAGTCTGTAGGTAACAGACAAACATTTATTTTCATATACATAGATTAAATTTCATCTAAGAACATGTGGTGAGCATTTGCCTAGTTTATTCTCAGTAAGTTGAAGATTAGCTTATATAGCGGGGAAGGCTAACAGCAACAGTAAATGGTTGCAGAAGACGGATGTGCCAGCTGAATGGGGCAAATATAGAAGCCATGTTGTAGACGGATATAACGCATTGACGACTTCACAAAAACGTAGAAGGAAAATTATACTTATATTAGTAGTAGTAGTAGCAGAAAAAGCAGGATTAGTGTGGGTGGTGGTGATAGTATTAGTAGCATCAGCAGCAGCAGCAGCAGCAGCAGCAGCAGCAGCGGTAGTAGTAGTAGCAGTAGTAGTAGAAGTAGTGGTAGTAGTAGCAGCAGCAGCAGCAGCAGCAGTAGTAGTAGTATTATTATTAGTAGTAGTAGTAGTAGTAGTAGTAGTAGTAGTAGTAGTAGTAGTAGTAGTAGTAGTAGTAGTAGTAGTAGTAGTAGTAGTAGTAGTAGTAGTAGTAGTAGTAGTAGTAGTAGTAGTAGTAGTAGCGAAACAGTAGCAGCAGCAGCAGCAGCAGCAGCAGCAGAAGAAGAAGAAGAAGAAGAAGAAGAAGAAGAAGAAGAAGAAGAAGAAGAAGAAGAAGAAGAAGAAGAAGAAGAAGAAGAAGAAGAAGAAGAAGAAGAAGAAGAAGAAGAAGAAGAAGAAGAAGAAGAAGAAGAAGAAGAAGAAGAAGAAGAAGAAGAAGAAGAAGAAGAAGAAGAAGAAGAAGAAGAACACTTTTTAATATTAACAACAACAAAATTAATTAAAAAAACCAGTAAGAACAATAAATAAGAATAAAGAAATAGGAAAGCATAGACATATAAAGTACATGTACATAAACAAATAATAATCATCGTCATCATTATCTGTCAGTCTTTGGAGACCTCCTATAATCTAACAATCTACAGATACATGTTTAATGAGACTTTCTTGGCCACTAGAACTTTCTGATGTAACTGGGTATATTCCACAACGACTGTCGTTCTGTTGGCCCTTGATGCGTCTGCTGCATTTTCTCCATTCTATTTTTGGCAATCTGCCACAGAGTTGTAAAGCGCTCACTAAATGCCACAGATGCCACAAAGGGGCACTTATCCTGTAACTGCTGGTAGCAAACTACTGTTTCCATGCCGAAATTATTAAAGGCCCTTTTGTTTCCAACATCGAAGACGTCAATCTCACCTGCGATAAATGGGAGAATGCCATACAGGTAGAGCTCATCCAAGGGGACCAGTGGTACGTGTTCGGATGCTGCAAGTAGGCTGGATACCACATTGGTAGTTGTGAGAATGGCAAAGCCTTTGCAGTAAGGTCTCAGATTCGTCCTACCTGGAAAGAACTGTTCGCTTACCGCATTTGGACCCGAACGAGGTATTGGACTTTCTGGGTTGAAGAAACAATACATGACTCTCTCACTAGCAACTTTCTTTGTCGCTGGGATGAAACCATGAATTAATTTATCGGTGTCTACAAAAACATCTTCATTTATGATCATTATGAACTTTGCATGGGGACAAAACTGAGTCACCCATTGCATACCCATAAGACCCTTGTATGTGGCGTTTTCCGGAACATCCGCGAAATCGCCTTGTACTATGTCTCCATATTGTTGTTGTTCTTGATTCAATCTTTGCTGGAAGTTTGGCGAGGATGTTTTGCCCAGAAGGAAGACATGGGCGACAACCGAGGGCTGGAAGTATGATGTCTTGGCGAAAGTGTCGCGAATACGCTGTCTCAAATCAGAACTTTGAGGCTTGCTGTTCACTAGATATACAAGATCAATTTCACCTTGGCACACCTGGGGACTGTTTACCTGAAGCAGGATTGTTTGCTTGCCGGTTTCGGGAATACCTGTGTCTGCAAGTTTTCCTCGAAGTTCACTGATGAACTTTTTAGCTCGGTCTAAATATCCCTCCTTCAGCAAAGGTTCCGAATCTCCGCTGACAGCGACTTCAGCATTTGGTTTTTGTCTCTGGAACCCAGCTGAGCCTGGTGCTTCCCATTGTTGAACATGGGATGGTACATTTTGTTGAATATTTGATCCCGCAACTCCCCACTGTTGGACATCAGACTGCAATTCATTATTTTGTTGACTATGATAATCTGGGTTTCTCTGTAGTTGACTATTCAAAGGTTTGTTTATATTTTGATAATGTAATTCATTGCCACCAGTGTGTACCAGATTTCTGTCGAGGCTGTTTTGTCCTTGTGCACCAAACTCGAAACCCTGATTTCTTTGCTCATCATTAGCAACGACTTGTTCATTGAAATTTTTTCTGTTTACCAACTGGCCAATCTTCTGATACGGTTGCTGCCCAGGAAACTGATTTACTTCTCCTATGCTGTTTTGATATTTAATTATATCAGCATTTCTAACTCCACCTTGACCAGATTCTTGCTCCAGTTGTCCTCCAAATCCTATTCTCGACATCTGGTTTTGACCGAAAGCAGAGTTGGCATTCCCTTGCTGGTCAGCGGAATTACTGTATTGATTTTGCATATTTCCAAGACCGAATTGAAACCCTGACTGACCAACAGCATCTTTCACCACTTGTGGCAAACCTCCCTTGTTTAAAAGAAGCTGAGTGGGGCTTTGCTTCACAGAATTTGATGTTTTATCCTTTACACTCGGAACGATGTTGCCTACGCCTGTATCATAATCAGGATAATTTCTACGGTAATCAGAATTGTCCGCCTCATTTTTCTTATCTTCCTTCGCGTTTTTGTCCCTTTGGATGTTAACCTGTGTTCCTACTGGAAAAAATGTCACCGTCCCTTTTTGTCGGTCACGAACGTACACATCTACAAGTAAATGAGGGGTCTGATTCTCTTCACTGTCCTGCTGTGGGAACTTTGATGTCGATAGCAGTGAAGTGACATTTAATACATGCATCAGCTGCGCTTGGGAAAACTCAGCGAAGAGACAACGAGACTGGTCTTGCGATGCTGCGCCCGGGACATCACGTTTAGATACATCGGTGATGTCGTTTCTCGGGGAACTATGAGACTTAATGATTTTCCAGATGATAACGACCAGGATAATCTGCAGAAGGACAGGCAGTAATCGACCAACGATAATTCTTCGTCTGCAACAGCAGTTGGGAACATTCTGCAGAAAATTCATGATCACCAACTGTAGTGGTCTGTTGTTTCCTGTAACAAATCTGGATTGGAAAAGGTTGTAATTATATGCTCTTTTTTAAACAGTCAAATACATAATGCACTTATGAGGAAATTAAAACTCATATCAAGGCACCGCTATGCACCGCTTAACGGGATAAACATTTGTCAGCATAAATAGGAAGCATTTCCTTATGAATGTCCTTTGCAGGCAGCCCTGTGAGAGAAGATGCTGGAATGTTTGACATCATGGCATGGAGGATCGTGTGTGTCAGAATTAAAGTACACGAGACAGAAGGTTGTAAATAGCAACGCCATGGATCACGGACAATATTAATAAAAAATAGATTGCTAAGATCTCAACATTAAATGTACTTTTTCAGGATACTTCATTTATGGGGGAACATATAAAGCAAACAATGGAATATTTGCTTGAATATTAAAATTGACTTTTTTAATAGTTGTTGGAAAACTTACCGAAAAGAAGACATACATATGTTACAAACACACGTTTTGCTAAATATGAAAACTAAAACTGCAAACACATTAGTATAGTAAAAATCTATCTATCTATCTGTCTATCTATCTATCTATCTATCTATCTATCTATGTATCTATCTATCTATCTATCTATCTATCTATCTATCTATCTATCTATCTATCTATCTATCTATCTATCTATCTATCTATCTATCTGTCTGTCTGTCTGTCTGTCTGTCTGTCTGTCTGTCTGTCTGTCTGTCTGTCTCTCTGTCTGTCTGTCTGTCTGTCTGTCTGTCTGTCTGTCTGTCTGTCTGTCTGTCTGTCTGTCTGTCTGTCTGTCTGTCTGTCTGTCTGTCTGTCTGTCTGTCTGTCTGTCTGTCTGTCTGTCTGTCTGTCTGTCTGTCTGTCTGTCTGTCTGTCTGTCTGTCTGTCTGTCTGTCTGTCTGTCTGTCTGTCTGTCTGTCTGTCTGTCTGTCTGTCTGTCTGTCTGTCTGTCTGTCTGTCTGTCTGTCTGTCTCTCTGTCTCTCTATCTCTCTGTCTCTCTATCTCTCTATCTCTCTATCTCTCTATCTCTCTATCTATCTATCTATCTATCTATCTATCTATCTATCTATCTATCTATCTATCTATCTATCTATCTATCTATCTATCTATCTAGCTAGCTAGCTAGCTATCTATCTATCTATCTATCTATCTATCTATCTATCTATCTATCTATCTATCTATCTATCTATCTATCTATCTATCTATCTATCTATCTATCTATCTATCTATCTATCTATCTATCTATCTATCTATCTATCTATCTATCTATCTATCTATCTATCTATCTATCTATCTATCTATCTATCTAACTATCTATCTATCTATCTATCTATCTATCTATCTATCTATCTATCTATCTATCTATCTATCTATCTATCTATCTATCTATCTATCTATCTATCTATCTATCTATCTATCTATCTATCTATCTATCTATCTATCTATCTATCTATCTCAGTCTGTTGTCTGTCTGTCTGTCTGTCTGAATAACACATCACCTGCTATCCCAAGAGCGCAGTAACAGCCAAAAGAAAGTCACTGGTACAGTAACATAAGAAATTTTGTTACTTGGACAGGGACGATCAATGGAGGGCCATAAACCTGACTTGTCGTTCAAAATTCTCATTAAGCATCACCTGTACAAAAAAGGTCCCATCAACACGTTACAGTCGCTTATTTTTCCTTGGCTGTTCGATACACTGTAGATCAGAGCTTTCAAAATAGTTTATGTTGGACCACAATTTTTACACAAATATTTTGGGGGGAAAAACGGTTTTCCTCTTTAGGTATCCAGTCTGTTGGATAAGCACCCAAAAGACGAGAATCAAACATGCACAAATTTAGGAAACCCAATTCAACCGTATAGCCATATAGCATAGTTATAAGTTGGTGCCACAAAACAAGTACGGAAGAAACCTGTAGTTTCATGAAACAGTAATTTAGTCTACTAGAAAGTCGTTGTCGTTGTCGAGGTTTCAACTTCACTGCAATCGGGTTTTCCCATACTTGCTCTGTTCCTATACCAGTGGAAATCATTTGAAATGTCCCTGACTGTCCTATTTGAAAAAAAAAATAATAAACAAACAGTTTGTCCCTGCACAATGCAGAAATATTTACACGCAGAGTAAATGCACAAGACAGTTGAGGCGCCAAAGTTAACATTTGCCCCTGGAAATGCAGTTTGTCATTGATGGAAGTAGTCGGTCACGATAAGTTTGCCATACACGCGTAAAATTATTGCCTAAGGTATTTCGCCAGTCCACGCGTAAGCACCTACCCATCGTACTGAAAACTACGACACAATCGCATCAAAAATAAAAGGCATTCCATATGAAAATTATAGCTCACCCTGCTGCACCGGGCACTTAATCAAGTAGCTTAGGCAGCGAAACCGTAGACTTTGGTCCAAATGTGGAAACTGCATTACAAAGCGTTGTCATAAGCAAAAATAACCTTGAAGCTGACAATTCTGCCTCGCCTATCCTATATATTGGGCCAGAAGTCTACAAGCCACCCAGAGGTTAAAACTCTTTAGAGGTATATTGACACATCCATCAATTGCAAAAAAAAAAAAAAAAAAAATGTGTAAAGGCACAACTTTTAGCATGAAAAACATTTTTTATATTTGAACCAGGTGTCTAAAAATATTTCCAAGATTAAATAATATCTATGCTATAACCTATAAGTAACAGTAATAAAGCCAATGAAATAACACCATTAATATCAGTTGTGTGTGCCAATTATTCTCTTTAACGCTTTACGTTCGCGCGATTCACCTTCATCCTGAATCTGATGCACAGTTTGGAAAGCTCTGCGGTTGGCTGTGTCCCCGGCTTCTTTGTACTCACTGTGTTTACACGTGTTGATTAAATTAAAGAAAGGATATTGTTGCCTATTTACTAGTCTGACGTCGTGTAGGGATATAGTTATTGATTTCAAATGCATATAGTTGGGCTATTATCGTCGCCAGATTTAACATTATATTCAAAAACCTCATCAACATTTCACAGTTCTCATGACAATGATCACCATCTTTATAATCTTTAACATCGTAATCATCATCATTATCATCTTCATCATCACCATTATCAACTTCATCATCATCATTATCATATTCATCATGGCTGCCACCTTCATCATCGTTATCATCATCATTACCATCATCATCATCATCAGTATCATCTTCATAATCCTAATCATCGTCATCATCATCATCATCTTCATCGTCATCATCATCATTATCATCTTCATAATCTTCATCATCATCATCGTCTTCTTCATCATGGCTACCACCTTCATCTTCGTCATTATCACCTGTAAAAAAATTACACATGTCATCATATGTATCATCTTATTCACCATCATTAACATCATCACCATAATAATCATTGTAATCGTCATCATCGTTATCGTCATCATCGTCACCAACATCATCATTGTCACCTCTGTCATGAAAATCCTTATCATCATCATCAAAACTTTCATCGTTATCATAAATGGTTTCGACCCAGCCACCATTATCACCATCAACATCTACATTTAACCATTTTATGACCACGTCCACCATTATCATCATTTTCAACATCTCTGTTATCATCATCATTATCATCGTCATCATAATCCTCATCATGAAAATTGTATTAGCAAGAAAGATAATACAGATATTAATACAAATAATAATAATAAAAAACAATGTTTATATAGACACTGATGTTATAAATGTAATTCACAAACATTGAAAACTTTGCACATTTTGGATATCTTTCGGTGTCACTCCCCGATGTGTCCTTTGAAAGAACCAGCATCAGTGTGGTATATGAGTTCTATTTTCGTACATTTGTGATCAATTCCAGGACGTCACATCCTGACTTCATTCAAGTCTGAACCTCGAACTTATCTGCTTCTTCTAGATTGTAGATCAACGGTTCGTAACCTGTAAGCAGCGACCCCTTTTTGGAGGTCAAACGACCCTTTCATAGGGGTCGCCTAAGGCCATCAGAAAACACATATTCGTTGAAGTTATGAAGTAGCGACGACAATAATTGTATGGTTGGGGGTCACCACAACACGAGGAAATGTATTAAAGGGTCGCCACATTAGGAAGGTTGAGAATCACTGGTCTAGACTGTGTCTTTAGTCGGTTTATTTGTTGTCTCTGTCAATATCGGGCAGAAGTTGCTGTAACATGTCCAATACTAAGTAATAGTTATTTTAAGTAATCACTGTCTTTCTGAGGAGATGAAAATAATAGTATCATGGTATAGTGTAAAGACAGACTTTATGACTTCATGACTTGATGACGTATCAGGTAAACAGATAGTTATGGTGCTTTTCCAAAGTCATGGCCTCACACTTCAATCCCTTTTACGAATCAATAGGAATGTTTGCACTGGCCTCAAGATTCCTCATGTTCTTATGATTTTATAATTTACAGTTGCGCAGGTGCTGCTATTTTCTTAGAGTGGCGAATTTCTTTGATCTTTGTTTGACTACTAACTTTTATACCCCGAAAAAAAAAAAGAGTAATTGACACACGTGTGAAGATTGTCTAGAAATCACTTTATATTACAGAGATGTGTAGTGATTATTTTGAAAGCCAATTGCGCATACAATAAAAAATCCACAACTCACGGGAGACTAATGCCGAAGATGACTATCTGAGAGTGAAACACCAAAAAAGCATGTGCAAACTGATGCATTGAAAAGTTCTTGTTATTTAATTAGCGGTAAGCATGTCGACTGTTTGTTTTCAATCGGTGTCTGTTTGAATAATTAACAGGTTACATGCCAAATGTCAACAGCTGACACTGAAGTGTTACTGAATTAGATGGAGATTTGAAAAGCTGAGTATGTCATCTAGAACGGACATTGGCCCGGCTCTCTAGCCTATTTGGCTAAACCGGATTGCGTGGAGACCGGGCGATGAACTCATTGTGGTCCGGGTTCAATCCCGGGGGTAGGCAGAAAAGCCACAT